TCGCAGACACTTCCTTCCAAGAGGTTACTATAGTAGATTTTGAAATAAAAGCCTGCTTAAAACCTTCAGAAGAAACTATATTCAATAATGAAAGAAATAAAGGAGAAATATATAACAAAATAGTCAAAGAACAAAAATATAAAAAAAATAAAACAATAACCATAACCAAATCTCAATGAAAAAATCAAGTTACAAGAAAAAACTCATATTTGCGAACGACTGTGAAGTCATACGCCTGCCTCAAAGTCGTAGTTTTCTCATGTTACTTGATCAAGAATGAAGCGATTTGCACCCTCCATGGCATTCTAGATCAAAAAATAAAAATTGGAATAAAAATGATTTTATCTGTCAAATATTGACAAATGAAGTATTGTTGGATTCTCTATTGAAATAAGTAAAGATATACCTATAGGATGTCCCATTTGAAAATCGAAAGTTGGAGTCTCATTTTCGGTCAAACCGGAAGTACGGCAAAGCAAGTAAATATGTTAAAAAATGTAAATTGAACTATAATACACAACCCCCAAATTTAGTTTTTCTATCTCCAACAATAAAAAAGTTATAGTGGTGAGCCACCGTAGAGAATCACGTGGCATATAAAAGTATATAAATATGATGAATTGCATTTGATGGAACGTCATTTCGAAAGCATATCGAGTGGTCCAACGAAAAGTATGCACCTTGCTTTTCTCCTTTTTTTGTAACTTAGCGCAAAAATGCTCGGACAGGTCAATTTTGCTTTTGAGGGGGACACATTTTAGATGTATTTTTCTACCTGTGCCTTCAACCCCCTAGCGAGGGTGAGTAACAACCCTAAAATTTTGAATGGAAAGTGGGGTCGAGTGATATATCATTTGAAAGGGTACAAAATTCTCTTTCCAATGATACCTAATTTGTTGTATTTACTTGAATAGTTATAAAAAAAGCAAGAACATTTACTCGATATTTTTGGTGATAATGAAAATGCGAAAAAAACGGAATTTTTATCACTACTACATTCCTCAATATCCCTCGTGCGTTTTTTGGTTCAAATAACAACAGCAGATAGGTGTACAAAATGAATTTAGGCAAACGTTCATTGATTCAGTTCGGTTGCTTTTGAAATTATTTGATCTTTACTGTAAAAATGGTTTATTCCATTCCTGAACGAGTTGAAATTGTTAAACTTTATTATCAACATAATAGTTGTGCTAGANAAGATATTTTTCTTAACAGATGATTTGATTTATAGCCAGTCTTCAAGTACGCCCACTGACTATACGTGAAAAGTTTTCTTTCCTTAAACGAGGAATTGGGCAAATTTCGGACATTGTACATAGACTAATTTCGGATATGTTGTTAGTTACCTTGTTCACAGGCAGATGGGGCGATGACAAACGTGTTGTTTGTTGCTGAAGGAATTCAATTTTCAATTATCGGAAATCATAGACTTTATGTTGAGGATAGACACTACTTTACAATGACGGGAGGCCAAACAGCCCGAAACCGGTCTGCGTGTTGCAATAATTGAAAATATATTGCGGCAGTTGAATCGCCAACAGCATGAGCAGAAAAAAAACTTTCAGAAAATATTCAAAATAATTTTTTTAAATACAAAATGAAAACAGATTTCATGAGTAATAATAATTTGAGCAGAATTCTGTTCAATACAAAACCCAAACAAGGTAGAATGAAAAAATAAATATAGTTTCAAAAAACTAAAAAAACACGCTTTTAAAAAACATCGAACTAAAAAGCCAAAAAAAATAATGTTTTTAATAAACTTAAAACAATAACGATCAAAATTTACCAGTATTATTGTGAAAAAAGCGTGGGCGCTTTGTGCCATATTTTTTGTATATCAAGCGTAACTCTTAAAATCAACTTTTTATTTTGATTTTCTTTTGAACAAACTCTGGAAGAGGTTACGTACAGCGCCATCTGCCCGCGAATAGATCAAGCAATAATGTCGAGAGTTACGTACAGCGCCATCTCTGCGCGAATAGATCAAGAAATATCAAGGAGGTTACGTATAGCGCCATCTGCCCGCGAATGGATCGAGCTATAATGCCGATAATTCTGTCGATACAGATCCCGAGCTTGAAAGTACAAACAAACATACATACATACATACAGGTGAAGCTATTATAAAGCGTGTAAAAAATGGCTGACATTTTCATCATTTCTCTCTGTATGAAACATGGTTATGAAAATTTAAGATTCAGAGTGTCTTCCAAGTTTGTCACAGTTTTTCATATGGTCAACCCATTCAATTGTCATAATTGTCACTAAGAAAGTGAAAAAAATTGTCTTTGTGAAAATGTTCAAGTGAGAAAGAAAGAGTTTGACCAGTTATACAGGATGGTTGAAATTGATACCCCCCATCGATAACCAATTGGACCAAATAAAGAAGCCAAACTAAAAAACTATTAAATTTTTTCACGCATCTATCATACTGTTTAGATACATATAAAACATCATCTTCATATCTTCATGATTTAATAAGAACCTGGGGGATTTTTTCATTTCGTTCGTAAATTCATCATACTGTGAATACAAGCAAACAATTATTAATATAATTTCCATTCATTAGAGAAAAATGTTTTTCGTCAAGTAACAGCTTTTCTTGAAGAAAATCGAATACTCCCGTACGAGCAGTCTGGGTTCCGCAAAAAACACGGAACACGGAAAGTAATCGACGATCTTGCGAGATTCAGAGATCAATCAGAAGTCACCATTTTAGTACTGCTTGATTAAAGTAAAGCTTTCGATTTAATTAATTTCGATTTACTCATCTGCAAGATCAAGATCACAGGATTCGATGACATTTGTCTTAAATGGATGACCAGCTATGTCACAGAGGCCGATCACAGAGGGTCAAGCTGGATGATTACTCATGGTCATCCCTAAAAGAAACAATCTCAGGTGTACCGCAGGGAAGTATTTTAGGACCCTTGATGTTTTCCGTGTTTATTTTTGATTACCCCACTTTCTCATCACATTGTCAAGTACATCTATACGCAGATGATATACAGTTATATTTGTATTCTCATAACACTGATAGAGAGAGTTGCTTGGCCAATATTAACACAGATTTGCACTCGGAGAATCATGGACTGAAAATCAATCCAAATAAAACTTTGGCCTTATGCATAGGGTCTCAAAGACAAATAATAGAAACTCAGTGTAACTTTAGGCTCACTCTTGATAACGCAGACATTGACTGGGTAGACAGTGCTAAAAATCTTGGCGTAACCATAGATAG